GGAATGTGAGGAAGGCAGTTGTGGTGTGTGGGAAACATGCAGACTTTGGACTCAGACCGTCCAGAATCTGAGCTCAGCCCTGCACTAGCTCGGAACTTGGGCACGCCTCTTATCCTGCAGGAGGCTCCCTTTCCCAAACTGGTTATGAGGACAGTGATGACCTGTGCCCACATGGGAAGAGGAGGAGGTAAGCATGAGAAAGGACTAGCAGTGCCCTGGGGAGTGGGCAGACTCACAGTCCCTGGTACTTGTTACATAAGGAATATTGTGGGCATACTCAGGGGTTTTTTTGTTTGTTTTTTTTTTTGAGACGTTTTTGCTATAGGGCACATGCGTTCGCCAGACAGACAGAGAGAGACAGAGAGATAGAAAGTGAGAAATCACCCCCCAGGGGGGATGGCCACGCCGCAATCCCTCCTCCTCCATTCTCCTCTTGGGATCTTGGGCACGCACACACATGTGCCCAGCGTGAGTTTAAGCCACCGGGTCCAGGACGCGAACCGCGGTCGACTACGTGGGAGTCCAGTGACATAGCCATTACGCCAACTGCTGATCCCTCAGGTTTTGTTTTTAATCCATGCTCTTTAGATATATACATTTTTAATTCATGATAAAGCATGTGCATGTCTACATGAGAGAGAAAGTACTCCCCACAGGGTCTGGTTATAATGCAGTCCCCTTCCTCAAGTCCTCCAGCCCATCAGATCTGGGGCACATTTCAGGCTGACTGGGTGGGAATTCGAAGTGCAGTCACCATGTGGGATCTGGCTTTTCTTGAGCAGTGCATTACCACTGCTGTACGAGGCTGACTTGATTTGTGCCCTTAAAATGCCCTAGGGTACTGGGCCGGCAAGTGGTTTGATGGTTAAAGTGCTGGATCCCACATGGCCAACTTTATGGTGAGTCCCAGACCCAGTGGCTTAAAAAACACACTGGAAACATGTGTATGCATGCCCAGAATCCCGAGAGGAGAATGGAGGAAAAAGGGTTGTGGCATGGCCATCTCCCCCCACCTCCCCCGGTCTGGGCTCCCCTCTCTCTCATCCCAGTGAGCACATGTGCTCGATAGCAAAACAAAACAAAACAGCCATAGGGTACTTTTCTGAACCACATTTATAATAACAGTCTAGGACCATGTGGAAAATTTAACTGAACCCCTACTGACCTATCTCCAGACAAACCCAGAATGTCTTTTTTGTGATAAGTACTAGTTTGTCTTCAGATGTGTACTCATTGCACGAGGGATCGCCTTCTGTGTTGCTTGAGCTTAGACCTGTGGAGGAGCCGTGCAGCCGCTCTGCACGGTCCATCACGTCGCCGACAGAGAGCATGTGAATAAAAGCCCAGTCTGTGTGGGGCTGTGTACAGCGGGGGGCGAGGCAATGGTATTCACAAGTCCTTGGAGTTGAGAGCAAAGTGGAGATTAGAGCTGGCCCTGACAGATAAATGTTCATGCAAGAGGGGAAAGGCCAGGCCTTCCAAGGCTAGGAGCTCGTGTTTGGGATGAGCACGAGGATATATGAGCAGGAAGCCAGAGCAGGCAGTGGTCAGAGGAGAGGAGCTGGCCAGGCGCCACCGGCTCCTCTCCTTCTGGAAACTCTTTTGTTCCCGTCAACTATGCTCTGTGGTCTCTTCCTACTTCTTTTTATTTTATTTATGTTTGAATCCCTACTCCACACACAGTACCTGAGACCTGGTAGGTGCTGTAGAGTAGGTTTTTATTATACTAGAAACCAGCCTTCACAAATCTGAAGCTTGGCACCTGTAACTTAGTGCTCTTTTTGTTCATCCATGGAAGTAGGCTCTGGGAAATAGAGATTTCTGTGTAGGGATAATTGTCTCTAAATCTTTTCTTTAACTCTCCTAGTCTTGCATGGGACCTTATTATAAACCCAATAGCTTCGACCTTAGAACCCATGCCCAAGAACTCTTGGAAGATGGTACTTTGTGAATTGTGAGGCATAACACTTAAGGAAGGGATTGGCTTGTATTAAGCATGGACTGTGTCGTGACTAGACATGTATTATCTCACTTAATCTCTGAGCTCCTTAGAGATCATCGAATCATGCTGTCGAAAGGTTTTAATAATTGGAGTAAAAGGAGCCAAAGCCCAGGAACATTAAAGGTCAAAGACTAAAGGAGACTCTAAAACCAAAGTCACTCAGTTTGTAGCTTCAGAGTCTTTTGACAATCTGCATTCTACTTGGTATTAATTTAAAATGTAATCACATATGATTGTAACATATCTATGTATATAAACAATTTGATTTTTTTTTAATTTTAGATTTCTCACATTGGCAAACTGAAAGATTTTCTTCTGGAACACAGGAAAGATTATATTAATGCTTATAGGTAAGTGCGTATTTCCACCATGGCTTTGGCGACTGTGTTCTTTCCCTCACCTACGTCCTTTCTGAGCTTTCTCCCCTCACTTTTAACTTCGTGCCTCAGAATTGTCATGTGGAAGAATGTCGGCAGAGCATAGAGCGCCTCCCAGAACCTGGGTGCTCTCTGCCCTGCGCTGTGTCTCTGAAGTCATGGTGTCACCGCAGCAACGGCCTGGCGTCTGTCAGTGCCCCGGGGCAGTTACCTCCTGTAAAGTGAGACCCGCCCCATGCACACCTGAAGGGCAGTGTGGAGTGGGATGGTGTGTCTGTGTCACCCCGCCTGTGCTGGGACAAGGTTTTCCAGGTTCTGCGAGGCTGTTTTGCCATGTCTCACTGTCTCAGCTGTGAAACTGGTTCTGCCATGTTGTCATTGCCCTCATGAGCGTGTTTTTCTGTCAGCGGGTCGTGCCTTCCTTGCTAATCCCCAGCCCTCAGTCCTGATGGGCAGCACCTTCTTGTCCTCCCCCCGGCTTTTGTCATTTGAGAGAGATAGCTACTGGTCCATTTCAGCTTGCTGTCATTTTTAGGACATTTTTGATGAATCTTTTTATTTATTCTGTAAATGTAACTCATGGTCACATTTCTTCTGGTGTCCTAGCCCAGTCTCTACTCAGTAGTCGCGGTGTTAAAAACAGTCAGCTGGATCCTCTGCCCACCTGAGTAAGTCCTCCATACTACCCACTGCCGTTAGTACTGACACCAGCCTCTGATTCGACGGCCCCTGCACCTTCTCTGGTCTCATTCCAAACCCATTTCCTGTTCCTCTAGCCTCTCTGCATTGTGCTCTAGCCATGCCAGCCTTCCTGGAAGCTCTGTGCTCCTTCCTGCTTTTAAGGCCCAGGCATAAGTTGCCTTCCTTCTCCTGTGGTGGTTTCCTTTTCAAACAGCCTCAATTTTAATACTACTCCTTACGAGAGTACCCTCCTCTGAGCACCCTTTGTGAAACAGATCACTTGTGTTAGTTTTCTGTTTGCTTTTCTGCCCTGTGTATTCTCTTCATGACATCAATCACAATTCGTAATTATACCATAATAATAATAGTTCGTAGTCTATTAACGGTCTTTGTCACCAGGTTGTAAGCGCTGTGAGGCGAGGACTTTTCAGCTTTTCATTCTTGTTTTCATAGTACCCTAGCCATGTTTGGCACTCAGGAAGCATTTGTTAAGTGAATGAATGACTGATTCTCTCATGAGTCCATGACTAGCCCAGAACACATTCGGCACTGTCCAAAGACGCTTTTGTTTGCCATGACACTGGTCCCTACCCACCGGCACTCAGTGTTGTGCGGAGCACCCTCCAGTGCCCAGTGTTATGCCCCAGGTGTGTTTTAAATAGTCCCTGATGCTTTGCTTAATTAAACTTCAGATAGTTATACTTTTAAATGTATTTCATGTATGTTAGAGTATACTAAAATAGTTATTCTGATGCATAGTACCAAGAAACCCTTATGGCAAGTTCTCAGTTCAATAGTTGGCTGACACTAGAGGGCAGTGTACATTTTATTTCTAAGGATGTGTCTGTGTATTAAATCCTAGTTTGATAGGTCATCCAAATGGAAGCTACAGTGCTTTTGAGGGAACTTAGCAAAACTGTTAAGCCTGTCGATTTCCAGCTCCTTTTGTTAGTATCTGACAACTTAGGTTAAAGACATGGTTGTAGAGATTTTTCATAGAAATCCATTGCTAACTTCTTTTCATTCAACAGCATGCATGCTTTGAATGTTGGTTTGATTCAAGCCACCCCTAAAAAGCCAGATAAATTTGAGAAAGCCATTAATCTGTGAAATTCAGTATCTTCCTCTAAACTAGGGGTTAGCAAACTACAGTCTGTGGGCCAAATCCAGCCTACTGGCTGTTTCTGTATAGCCCATTAGCTAAGAATAGTTGTATATTTTTAAAAAGTTGGGGTTAAAAAAAAGAATATTTTACCACATGTGAAAATTACATGAATTTCAAATGTCACTGTTTATAATAAAGTTTTATGGGCACACAGCCAACAACAGCAGAGTTGAGTAACTGTGAGAGACTATAAAGCTTACAAAGTCCTACATATTTATTCCCTGGTCCATTTCAGAAAAAATTTATAGAGTGATGATCACTCACAATGTAGTTGCAAGATTCAAAGGAGATAATAGAATTAAAATGCAGTGCAAAAAGAACAGTGCTGTCAGTCAGGCTGTAACTTTGTAATGGTTTCAAGCTTTTGGGAACAGCAGTGATACATATTAAGCCCCTTTATGCTCTAGCAGCAAGCACAGCTTCCACCCTGTTTTTCAGTGCTCTGAGGCTGTTACAGTGTAGACTGATGCTTCAGTCCTACAGGCCAGGGCCTTCCATTTTCCCAGCTACAGTGGCACCAAACACTGGGACCAATCCCAACTCTGCCCCTCAGGAGCTCTGTGGCTTAAGCATGTTGCTTAACCCCTTTGAGCATCACGTAGACCTTTAGCCCCAGAAACTTTGTCTTGACCAATCTCGCCTCGTTCTAGAAACACAGTCTTCTACTTGTTTCACAGTGCTAGCTATCATTGCCAATTCATGCGCTCTGAATTGCGTTTCTGCCCTCATTTTGGTACTTTCGAAAGAGCATGTGCTTTGGGGTCCGCCGTGCCTAAGTTTCAGTCCTGGTTTGGCCATGTATGTTCAATACACTTAACATCTTTATGCTTGTTTTCTTTTTATGAAACGTGGATAATGTTCTTGCAAAGATTAAGTGAAATATGTGTAAGAGTTCCTGGCACATAGAATTCCCTTGGTGAATGGTAATTAAGTTGGAACCCCATTTGACCTATGATGCAGCTGGGAGTGGTGGTTATTAAACAAAACAAAACCCACCTTTGTTTCCTGCCCAGGGGTGGGGGATGGGGAGAGAAGGAGCGAAAAAGAGAGAGAGGATACAGGAGTCAGAACAGCATGAGACGGGCATCGGCTTTATCCCTGGTTAAACCTACGTGGCAGTCGTCAGCTCTCTGGGCAGGAGGTCTCGCTCACCAGCACCCACTCTTAGTGCCCCTGAACGATTGTAGTCTTCAGGACATGGGTGACCGAGGAAGGGCCTTGAGAGAGCAGGAGAGCAGAGCCTCTGCCATCTGTTGCCAGGCAGCTCTCAAGAGGAAGAGGAGAGAGAGAAAGGGGGCAGCAGGCACCGCAGTAGAGCACAGTACTCCTCAGGGCTACACTGTCCACGTCAGGAGACCTCCCCGAGTATGCCAAGCACATGGGTGCCCTTGATCTGGCACTGGCCGAGTCTGAGTTGGATTGTGGCCCTAAGACTCTGTTGGGGGTACTCTCTGTCTCTCCTTCTCTCTCTGTCTCTTGAAAGAAATTTTAAAAAGGAAGGTGTGGAGGACAGCAGGTGGCATAGTGGTTAAGGTGCTGAACTCCCACATGGTAGACTGAGGTTCATTCCAGACCTAGCAGCTTGAAACCCATGCTGGGCACATGTACATGTATGCCCAAAAAAATCCCAGGAGGAAGATGGAAGAGAAGTGATTGCGGTGTGGCCATCCCCCCGGAAGTGATTTCCTGCTTTCTGTCTCTTTCTCTCAGGTGAGTGTACACTCTCTATAATAGAAATCTTAAAAAAAAAAAAAAAAAAGGAAGATGTGGTGGCTAGATGCACACCCAGTTTTTTCTGTCATGGTACTAATCAGAGGACTCCCTCTTTCTGCTGTGGGACTTGGCGGGTGAGGAGGCTGGAGGCGAGGTGTCACTCTGGGAAGTTAGTTCACGTAGAAACACAGAGACTAGGAAATAAGCATTCCCTCAGAGTGTCACTCTCTCCAGATGGAGGAAGGTTGCCTTGTGGTCTCCCATCAGGTCCTCCCTCCCGAAGGTGGTAGACTGCTCCAAGCCTTTCTTTTTCACTCCTCACTCCCAAGCAACGTGCTAGCATTGGCCTGCTCCTAGGAACATTTTATATGGAGTATGAACTTGGAATTGAAAGAATATGTATAGAAGTACTGCCTTCAGACCTATGAGGCTTCGTTAGTTTGACATAATTAGGAAGCTGTAATTTTTTCCAGAATATAGGGCTCAGACTTTATTGACCTATTTAGTTTTTTTTTTAATAATAACATTTTACTAGAGCAGAACAGCATGCAACCTAGGTAGCCTCTGGCTGAATCTCTGGATGATTTTAATTAAAAATAATTCCTCCACTTCTGGTAGATGTACCTTTCCATAATATTCTGGCAACAAACAATACCACTTGGGAGAAAAATACCTTCTTGGTTTCTGTTGTTGTTCCTAATAGAATAACCATACTGTCAATTTCCAATTTAAAAGGTTAATGTATATATGTATAATGTATCCTAAAGGAACATCACCTTTTAATTGAGTAATCAGTTTTATCAAATTAACCTTTAGACCTTTTCAATTTCGGCGAGCTATGTTTCCATTAAATCAAGATCTCGAGTCGGAGGATGTTAATATAATGTTCTTAGAGTCCCTCATATAGAGGCCTGCTCCGTCCCACGGGGTATGTGCTCACTTGGATGTGAGCACCTCTCTGACGAGCTGCCCCTGACCCCGTTAGCCTCGTTTTCTGAGACGGTTCCTAGCGGGAATGAGCACAAGGCTTCTGGCTCCTCTTCTCACCAGTCTTGCCCCTTCCCAGAAGGCTGTTTCTAGGGGTTTGGGAGGAAGGAATTGAGTGTGTTCCCTCGTTCCCTTTGGCTCACGTTTGGGCCTTCTGTCTCAGGCAGAGCACGTTCTCCTGAGGTTGTCATGTTAAGCCAAACTAATTGATAGAACAAGGTGCCAGGGAGTGTTGGGAAAAGAAACTACTTTTCTCTCACTTTCTAAGTTCCATTGAGGAAAGGAACATCCATTCCCTAGGAGGCTGTGGCTTCCCTTTCCCCATTCTAGCTCTCCCCCAGAAAATGTGGAAATAGGTTGAGGAGTGGGGCTGGGGCCTCATCAAAGGAGGAGAGGATGCTTATCAGGTCACTGGGACAGAGAATGG